GAATCAGTTCTTCACATCAGGTGGCCAAAGTACTGGTGCTTCAGATTCAGCATCAGTTCTTCCAATGAATACTCAGGACTGATTTCCTTCAGGATTGTCTGGTTTGATCTCCTTGTAGTCCAAGGGATTCTCAAGATTCTTCTCCAACACCATAGTTCAAAATCATCAACTCTTTGGTGCTCAGCTTTCTTTATTGTCCAACTCTCACATCCATACATGACTACTGGAAAAACCATAGCTTTGGCTAGATGGACCTTTGCTGGCAAAGTGATGTCTCTTCTTTTTAATATGCTGTCTAAGTTGATCACAGCTTTTCTCCCAAGGAGCAAGCATCTTTTAATTTCATGGCTGCAGTCACCATCTGCACTGATTTTGGAGCCCAAGAATATAAAGTCTATCACTGTTTCCATTTTTTCCCCATCTATTTGCCATGAAGTAATGGAACTCAATGCCATGATCTAATTTTTTTGAATTTTGAGTTTTAAGGCAGCTTTTTCATTCTCCTCTTTCACTGTCATCAAGAGGCTCTTTAGTTCTTCTTCACTTTCTGCCGTAAGTGTGGTGTCATCTGCATATCTGAGGCTATTGATATTTCTCCCAGCAATCTTGATTCCAGCTTGTGCTTCATCCAATCCAATGTTTCACATGATGTATTCTGCATAAAAGTTAAATAAGCCTTACTTATAAGGCAACATTTGAGCAAAAATTTAAAGGAAGTAAGAGAGATATCCATGAATATAACAAGCAGTCCAATGGTGCTGGAGTAGAATAAATAAAGGAGAGAGTGGCAGAAGATGAAGTAAGAGAAGGGCATGGAAAGAACGGATTATGTAGAACCTTGGAGAACACCATCCTTATGAATCTTTATATTCTGCCTGAGATGGGAAGCTGTTGGAGGATTTGGGGTAGATGATGTTTAAAGTGATCACTCTAGTTGCTGTTGAGAACAGATTTTAATGGAACAAGCCCGAAAACTGGGAAACCAGACAGGAGGATATTGTAAGAATCCAAGTTGGTTCTGACGGGCTTGGACCAGGGTAGCAGGTAAGAGATAAGACAAAGTCTTTGGATATATTTTGAAGAGAGAGTTGATAGGATTTCCTAACAGATAGGATATTGGATATAAGAATAAGAGAGGAGTTAAAAATTATTTCCAAGATTTTGTCACAAGCAGCAGAAAGGAAGGAGTTGCCATATACTAAAACAGGAAAGACTGGCAGGAAAAGCAGGTTAGGGTAAGGACAACAGGAGTTTACTCTTGGACACATTAGGCTATTTTGATAACCAGGTGTATATGTTGAATAGACCACTGAATGTATCACTCAAGTTCAAAAGCAAGGTACAGTCTAGACATAAAACATGGGTATATCAGCATGTAAATTTCTTTTAAAGTTATGAAGCTAGACAAAATTACCACAAGGAAGAGAGATTGGATAGGGAATATGTATACAAATACAGAGTCTTGGGGGTATACAGAGATTTAGAACTATGGGTGATGAGAAGTCAAAAGGATGAGAAGGAGCAAAAATGAGGTGGGAGGACAAGAGAAAGAAGAAAGAGGAAGGCATGGGAGAGGAGGAGGAGGAGAAGATGCATCCTGGAAGCCAAATGGAGAAAGTATTTTTAGGGAAGAAATGATCACCTGGGTCAAATGCTGCAGAATAAATAAGACGAGAGAAGAATGACAACTGAATTCAGCAACCTGGACGTTGAGAAGAATGGTTAGTGGAGTGGCAGGGGAGAAAGAAAATGGTAAGAAAAAAAATTGGAGACAGCATGTAAAGACCACATTTTGGATAAGTTTTGCACAAAAGGGTGAAGAGATATGAGGACAAGACCTGAATAACTATTAAGTACTAGAAATTAGGTCAAAAGAAGTTTTTTTTTTTTTTTAAATTATGGGAAAAGTATCAGCTGGTGGCAATGATCCAAGAAAGGGGAAAAAATAATCCAGGAGAAAGAAAAAATGCTGCTGGATGATGTCTTTGAATAAGCAAGAGATGAGACCTGTTGCAGAAGACCAGAACTAGCCAAATTGCCAATATCCATTGGATCATAGAAAAAGCAAGAGAATTCCAGAAAAACATCTTCTCCTGCTTCATTGACTACGTTAAATCCTGTGACTGTGTGGATCACAACAAATTGGGGAAAATTCTTAAAGAGATCAGAATACCAGACCACCTTACCTGTCTCCTGAGAAACCTGTATGCAGGCCAAGAAGCAACAGTTAGAACTGGACATGGAACAACAGACTGGTTCCAAATTGGGAAAGGTGTACATCAAGGCTATATATTGTCACATTGCTTATTTAACTTATATGCAGAGTACATCATGCGAAATGCTGGGCTCGAGGAAGCACAAGCTGGAATCAAGATTGCCAGGAGAAATATCAATAATCTCAAGATATGCAGATGACACCATCCTTATGGCAGAAAGCAAAGAGGAATTAAAGAGCCTCTTGATAAAGGTGAAAGAAGAAAGTGAAAAAGCTGGCTTAAAACTCAGCTTCAAAATCTAAGATCATGGCATAACTGGTTCCATCACTTCATGACAAATAGATGGGGAAACAATGGAAACAGTGGGCTTTATTTTCTTGGGCTCCAAAATCACTGTGAACTGTGACTGCAGCCATGAAATTAAAAGATGCTTACTCCTTGGAAGAAACACTATGACCAACTTAGACAGCATAGTAAAAAGAAAAGACATCACTTTGCCAGCAAAGGTCCATCTAGTCAAAGCTATGGTTTTTCCAGTAGTTATGTATGGATGTGAGAGTTGGATGATAAAGAAAGCTGAGCACCAAAGAATTGATGCTTTTGAACTGCAGTGTTGGAGAAGACTTGAGAGGCCCTTGGACTGCAAGGAGATCCAACCAGTCCATCCTAAAGGAGATCAGTCCTGGGTGTTCATTGGAAGGCCTGATGTTGAAGCTGAAACTCCAATACTTTGGCCACCTAATGTGAGGAGCTGACTCCTTGGAAAAGACACTGAGGCTGGGAAAGATTGAAGGCAGGAGGAGAAGTGGATGACTGAGGATGAGATGGTTTGATGGCATCACCAACTCAATGGAAATGAGTTTGAGCAAACTCTGGGAGATGGTGAAGGACAGGGCAGCCTGGCATACTGTAGCCTATGGGGTTGCAAAGTGTCAGACATGACTGAGCAACTGCACAACAACAAGAAAGAGTGTAAGAGTTCATGGTAATAGGATAGAAAGCCTATAGTAGTAGATGGGTAGATATGATGGTTGGAGCTGAGAATTTTTTTTTTTTTTTTGGCTGCTCCAGGTCTTAGTTGCTGCATGTGGGATCCAGTTCCCTGATCAGGGATCAAACCTTGGCCCCTTGCATTTCGAATGTGGAGTTTTAACCACTGGACCACTATGGAAGTCTCTAGAATGTTCTTTTTGTTTCTTTTTTTTTTTCAGTGAAAGAGGAAACTGACAGTATGATGAGGGGAAGAAGTGTTCAAGATTTGAGGACAGAAGTTATAAAGTAGTCTTAAAAAATACCCTACTATAAAATTAAATAAAGAAGTATACCTGAAACTAATACAACACTGTAAATCAACTATACTTCAATATGAGGCTTCCCAGGTGGCACAATGGTAAAGAATCTGCCTGCCAATGCAGAAGACACTGGGTCAGGAAGATCCTCTGGAGAAGGGAATGGCAACCCACTCCAGTATTCTTGCCTGGAGAATTCCAAGGACCAAGGAGCCTGGCAGGCTACAGTCCATGGGGTCACAAAGAGTTGGACACACCTGAGCAACTGAACAACAACAATCAAGGACTTGTTCTCTGTCAAGCATTTTCATGTTTTACATACTTTTTTTTTTTTTCTTTTTTAATGTGCAGTTTGTGCAGTCCCAGGGACTGAACCTGGGACAAGGTCGTGAAAGCGTGGAATCATAACTATTAGACCACCAGGGAGCTCGCTACATACACTATCTTATTTATAAGGCATTCTCATCCCATTTTACTGATGAGGAAGTTGAGCTTTAGAGAAATTAAGAATCTTGTTCAAGAGCAGGTATTCCAATGCAGTATTCAAATTCAAGGCTCCCTACTCATAACAACTATCCTTTTCCAAAACATACCTTCTGTTAATTTTTCTAGTGTACAAACTTATTGCTTTCTTTCAGGGTTTCTTGGAGCAGATTATAAGGGTCTTCTTGATACTTTTTAGGTCATAAGAAACAAGAGAATTACTATTGCCAGTTATAAGAGAAAAGTCTTTTAAAAATATATTTTAAAATGTATGCAATCAACCCTCAATATCCATGGGTTCTCTATCCCCGGATTCAACGTCTATGGAACAAATTCAGAAAAAGAATTTTTATGATGTTTCAAAAAGCAAAATCTGAATTTGCTAGTACCAGCAAATTATATGTAAATACACAGAATTTACATATTAGTTATACTAGTATGAGCAATCTACAGGTCACTTAAAGTATAGAGGAAGAAGTGTGTAAGTTATATCCAAATACTACTCCTTTTTATAAGGTACGTCAGTTTTTTGGGGTTTGGATATGATGGACTCTGAAATCAATGCCCCTGGGGACACAGAGGGACCACCATATTCTGTTTCCCAACTCCACAGAGCTGGTCCGTGGGCGTGCCTTTGACCGGCAAAGGGAACGTGCTATTGAATCCTAGGGCGTAGGTTTTGTGGGAGACTTGGTCATAGACCAAGTAGGCGTTGAGTGAGTGGTTGGTCTCTACGGCGGCGTGAAGGAGGTGGAAGCAGAACGGTTGGGTCCTCACCGGATGGAGTGGTGGGTGGCCCGGGTGGGGGTGGTGAGGCCCGTCCTGGGGGCGGGGTCTACGGTGGGCGAGTGCGCGTCGCCGCGCCCGGCATTTCAAACCTCGCGGCTAGACCGCTGAGAGTCTGCTCCACGAGCTGGTTGCTCAGCTGATTCCCGGTGCGGGTCGAATCCACCTCTCGCGGGATCCAGGCCCAGCTCGACGGCAACTCTCTCCTCGACGCCTCGCCGTCGCCATGGTTCACTTCTTGCACCCGGGCCTTTCGCCCCGGACCATCGTCCCCCCGGACGCTCGGGAGGATATGCTAGGCTGCCTCGTGGTGCAGGTGAGCTCCGAGGAGGGCAAGGGACGGGGGCAGGAAATGGAACGCGAACCTCGGCTGGACGTCCGGCCCCGGGAGAGCACGGCAAGTCGTCGGGGACCGTGCGGAGACATTTTTGGCTCGTTTGACCGACGCTGGGGGTAGAGTCTGAAGAGGCTGAGTCCCTGTTAGGCTTCTGTCTTCAGATGCTGGCAAGTGCTTGTCGGAGAGGAGTTTTCCGCCCGGGGCGTCCCAGCCTCCGGGCCGAGCGTCCCGACCCTGCGCAGCGGAGGAGTGGCGGGGTGTGTCCCGCCTCACGCTTGACCTTGGGCGGGTCCTCTCCTCTGGGCCCCTTGGTTTTCCTGTGCTAGTGAGTGCGTGCGTGCTAACTCGCTTCAGTCGTTTCCGACTCTTTGCGACCCTATGGACTGTAGCCCACCAGACTTCTCTGTCCATGGGATTCTCCAGTAAGAATACTGGAGTGGACTACTCCTCCAGGGGTATCTTCCCTACCCAGGGATCGAACGCGTGTCTCCTGCCTCCTGCATTGGCAGGCGGATTGACTAGCGCCACCTGGGAAGACTATGTGCAAGCGCGGGCGACAGCTATTTTGCAAGGTGGTGTTTAGACGTGCCTTATGCTTGGCCCGTGGCGTTTATTGTCATCCTGCGCCCAAATACCTTAAAACTTCGTCTGTTCCCAAACGTATGTTGGGGACTTGTTGCTCCCAAGAGTATGCGACCTGTCGGTCCTAGGATTGTTAACAGAAAAAGCCCGCCTGGAAGAGTTGGAACCCCAGAGTGAAGTTCCTAAAATTCCATGTGTTCGTTTCGGCCCCGCGCCCCGGTTCCCTCGGAATGCCTTTCAAACGAAATTGAGCAACATGCAAACCAAAAGAGTGTGTATTTGGAGCCTACTGTGTGTCAGTTGTCGCATTTCTAAAATCTCGGATTTTTTTGTAGGCATTGATGGTCTCTGTTTTACTAGTGAGTAGGAAAATTGAGAACCCTTGACTTGCTCAAGATCTTGAACCTGACATAATTTCTGATGTGACTCCGTATTCTACAAAACCCCAAGGGCCACCCTTCTTAGAACTCAAAATCTAGTGAACGCTCAACCCGCAGTTAGTATGGAGGAAAGGAAATATTCTCATTGAGTTTGCACTTTACACACTAACGCCTTGTTGGCCTTTGTGTCCTGCAGAGATCTAACCCGTAATCCTGTAGACCCTTTTGGGCTCACTTTTAAAAGCTTCTTAAATAATGCCTAAATTTGTTTGTTATTGTTCAGTTGCTAAGTCCTATCGCTCTTTAGCGATCCCAAGGACAGCAACACTGCTACTCTCCCCTGTCCTTCACTATCTCCTGGAGTTTGCTCACATTCACGTCTTTTGAGTTGGTGATGCTATCTCATCATCTCATCCTCTGCCTCTCCCTTCTCCTTTTGCTTTCAACCTTTCTGGGCATTGGGCTTCCCTGATAGCTCAGTTGGTCAAGAATCCGCCTGCAATGAAGGAGATTCCTTGGTAGGGAAGATCCGCTGGAGAAGGGATAGGCTACCCACTTCAGTATTTTTGGGCTTGCCTTGTGGCTCAGCTGGTAAAGAATCTGCCTGCAATGCAGGAGACCTGGGTTCTGTCCCTGGGTTGAGATCCCCTGGGGAAGGGCAAGGCTACCCTTTCCAGTATTTTGGCCTGGAGAATTCCATGGACTGTACAGTCCATGAGGTCGCAGAGTTAGACAGGACTGAATGACTTTCTTCACTTTCCCAGCATACGGGTCTTTTCCAGTGAGTCAGCTTTTTGCCTCAGGTGGCCAAAATATTGGAGTTTCAGCTTCAGCATCAGTCCTTCCAATGAATATTTAGGGTTGATGTCCTTTAGGATTGACTGGTTTGATATTGCTGTCCAGGCGACTCTGAAGCGTATTCTCTAACACCACAATTTGAAAGCATCAATTCTTTGGTGCTCAGCCTTCTTTATGGTCCAACTCTCACATCTGTACATGACTGCTGGAAAAACCATAGCTATTTGGAGCTTTGTCGGCAAAGTGATGGCTCTGCTTTTTGATACTCTTGTCTGGGTTTATCATAGCTTTCCTTCCATGGCACAAGCGTCTTTTAATTTCATGACTGCAGTCACAGTCCACAGTGATTTTGGAGCCCAAGAAAATAGTTTGCCACTGCTTCCACTTTTTCTCTTTCTCTTTGTCATGAAGTGATGGGACCAGATGCCATCATCTTAGTTTTTTGAATGTATACTGTTGGGGTATGAGGTTGAAAGAGGAGAGTGAAAAAGCTGGCTTAAAACTCAACATTCAAAAAATGAAGATCATGGCCTCTCGTCCCATCACTTCATGGCGAATAGATGGGGAAAAAATGGAAACAGTGACAGACTTTATTTTCTTGGGCTCAAAAATCACTATAGATGGTGACTGCATCCTTGAGATTAAAAGATGCTTGCTCCTTGGAAGAAAAGCTATGACAAACCTAGACAGTATATTAAAAAGCAGAGACTACTTTTCCAGCAAAGGTCGGTCTAGTCAAAGCTATGGTTTTTCTAGTAGTCATGTATGGATGTGAGAGTTGGGCAATAAAGAAAGCTGAGCACCAAAGAATTGATGCTTTTGAACTGTGGGGTTGGAGAGGGCTCTTGAGAGTACCTTGGACTGCAAGATCCAACCAGTCCATCCTAAATGAAATCAGTCCTGAATATTCATTGGAAGGACTGATGCTGAAGCAGAAGCTCAGTTACTTTGGCCAACTGATGTGAAGAACTGACTCATTTGAAAAGACCATGATGCTGGGAAAGACTGAAGGCAGGAGGAGAAGGGGACGACAGAAGATGAGATGGTTGGATGGCATTACTGACTCGATGGAGTTTGAGCAAGCTCTGGGAGTTGGTGATGGATAGGGAAGCTTGGTGTGCTGCAGTGCATGGGGTCGCAAAGAGGCTGAGCAACTGAACTGAACTTTCACCCTTATCAAGAGGCTGTTTAGTTCCTCTTCACTTTCTGCCATTAGAGTGGTATCGTCTGCATATCTGAGGTGATTGTTGTTAGTCCAGCAGTCTTGATTCCAGCTTGTGATTCATCCAGCCTGACATTTGTTTGTAGCTAATGGAAAAGCTGAGTTGTTAACAAATGTCCTAGCACAGCATGTCAAGTATATTTTTTGCTGCTACTGATATAATTGAAATGCAAGGTTTTCTTTAGAAAAGTGATCAGATGAATTCATTTCTGTGTGGTTCCACGCTGTACTGTGTACATTTGTCATTTGGTTAAGATTTTATTTTTAATTAATTTAAAAAATCGTATAATTCATGAATACTTTTCCTTTAGATTTCTCTATGTTGTTTTAAATTTTATTTAGCAATGTTTTGTAGTTTTTAGTGTAAATGTCTGTTACATATTTTGTTAAATTTATCCCTGTTTTTGTTAGTAATGTAAATATTTTTTAAAAGTTTGTAGTTTGGGGGTTATATTGATCTTGTATCTTATGACTTTGCTAAAGCTACTTAAAAAAAAATAGAAAAAAGAAAAAGAAGAAAAAAATTTAATCAAAAGTTGGTTCTTTGCAAAGATCAATGAAATTGGTAGATCTTTAGCCAGGATAACCAAAGGAAGACTGAAATAACCGATGTCAGAATGAAGGAGCTATTATCACTACTGATATAAAGCCACATATATTCTCTCATTATTTTTTTTGTTTTGTTTTCTTAAGATTTTCTTTATAATCTGTTATCTGCAAATAAAGACAGCTTTACTTATTCCCTTTCAATCTGTTCTTCATATTTCCTTTCCTAAAAAATGCAGTTATCTAGGACCTTGTGTAGAATGTAGGAGAGAAGTGGTGAGAAGGGACATCTTTATATCGTTCTAGCTCTTTTGGTTTTCCCATAGATGCCTTTTATCAAATTAAGGAAGTTTTCTTCTATTCTTAGTTGGCTGATTTTTTTTTTGTTTTTGTTTTTTTCAATCATGGTAATCATGAATGTGTTTTGAAATTTGTTGAAATACTTTCTCAGTGTATATTAAGGATGTATGTTTTTGTTCTTCATTGTGTTGATGTGGTAGGTTTTATTGATTGTGAATTTAACTTTACATTGTTGGACCTTAGTTCCTGGACCAGGAATTGAACACTCACCTTTGACAGTGAAAGCTCAGAGTCCTAACCACTGGACTGCCAGGGAATTCCCTCCATTGTGTTTTTTTTTTCCCCAATTGATTATTTTAAAAGTTTCATTCTATCTTTTCTGTTGACTTACTAGTTCTGTTCCTCTTCTCTGAATGGTCACACAAAGATAACAGTTGGGGTCTCAGACCCCATTCTCTTTCGTTAAGTCTCAGATTAATGAAATTTGCAAAGATGTAAAACAGTGCTGCCATTGTCACTAAATTTTTAAAAATTCTTTTTGAAAATGTTAGCTCTTAAAAAAATATGTTCTTTGTTGGGAATTTCCTGGTAATCCAGGACTTGGTGCTTTCACTGCTGTGGGTGCAGGTTCAGTCCTTGGTCTGGGAACTAAGATCCCACAAGCCATGTGGTGTGACCAGAAAAAAAAATGTTCTTTGTGTGAACATGTAATTGGTTTAACTTTTATTATTTCTGAATGAGTTAATATATATTTTAAAGATTTCTTAGTTTTAACTTATAATATAGTAAATGTTGATAGATGCAATCCAGTTTTTAAGAATACTGTTGATCCTAAGACTAAAAAGTTTGAGAGTCACCGGTCTAGGTTTTAAAATGTACACGTTTGACTTATTGCACTACTTTTAAATATATCACTTCAGCTTACAATAGTATTCTTTCATTTTCTCCCCTCTTTCCTGTCCTTTGTACTATTGAAATAATATATTCTATTTTTCTAAGTTGCACAGTATATTGTTTTTACTTTTTCTTTGATCAGTTATTAAAGAAATTAGGAAATAAGAAAAATAGTTTTATATTTATCCACATGCTCCTGTTTCCAGTACTCTTCCCTTTTCTCTTTTCTCTAGATACCAAATATCCATTTTGTATAA